TATCACCCACGGGAAAAGCCCATTTACGGGTAAAGTCACATAGGTATAGGCACACTGATCATACAAACACGTAATAAAGGTATACAATAAATGATACAAAACAGACCGCAATCTTGCGACACACGGCAACATCATTGGTCTGTGGGAAAGGCGCGGGAGGATAGCTGAGCAGCGTAAGACTTAGCTGTTTTCCTCACTGTGGCTAAGGAGTCCGTAAACAGGTCTAGCTGGTTGTTTTCACGCAGAAATTCATTTGCGAGCCTCGGCACCCTACAATAGAGCCCATTCTTGATGGTTTAACTCTGGCGAACGGCACGGCGAGCAGATCACGGCGGCGAACTGATCTTATTATAGTTCTTATTATATTAAAATAAAGAAAATAATTTTTTATAAAAAGATTTTATTCTCTTTGCTGATCATTTTCAGCATAAAAATCATAGGTAGATCCATTGCAAAAAAAAACTTATTTCGGGAAAGTGAACTATTCCCTTTAAGTCAGGCAAGTTCAGGATCTTTTTAACAAGAGGCGAACAATGCTCATTTATTTCATTGATTTTCCAAATTCCAAGATCGTTATCATTTTTGCTCATAGATGCCTAAAATAAATGATACAACTGCGTTATGCATGAACTGTGCGTGTTAACTTTATTGTATCTTCTTTGCAGAATGAAAAAACAATCTTCTTAAAAAAGCCGATGTGAGCTTCCAATTAGCAACAGACACTACTTCTTGATGATGTCTTCTTCGTGATGATCAACATAAGAATGATGCGTCTGCTTCAGCAAGCCTTCGCTTGTTACCGCCGAAAAAGGGTTGTGCGTGTTCTGCTGCTGTTCTTCGCTGTAAGCGCAGCAACCATTTATATTTGCTCTGATCACCAAATAAGTCTACAACAATTCCTGTTGTCATCCGACGTCTCCGGCACAGGAGGCGGCGACGGTACCGAGACGCTGGTGGTCCCCGTCAGCCGTCTGGTCGAGCCGTCACTGCCGACCCAGTCGTGGTTCGCCGGTGACCCGAGCTGCGCCCACCTGGTGACACAGTTCGGCCGGCCGGGCAGCCTGCCGGACGCCCGGCTCGCCTCGCTTCCCCGCTCGGGCAACACGTGGACGCGCTACCTGCTGGAAGCGGCCACCGGTCTGGTCACCTGCGGACCCACGAAGGACGCAGAAATGGCCGAGGAGCTGCCAGCTGGAGCCCTACCGGCCGCTGCCGATATTATCGACCAACAACAGTCGGCGACCACCTCGACAGAGCTTCGCGCTGCCGGCTTTATAGCTGAACATGTGTCCCCGTTAACACGCACTTGTCTCGTTGGTAAGACACACGAGATTCCGCCTGCCTGGCGTTACGTGGAAGGAGAAGAAGAGGCTGATTATAACGAAATTGGCAATGACTCTGGCAACACAGACAACGCGACCAGCGTCGGCTACCAACTGCCAGCAATTCTGCTCGTGCGAGACCCGTTCCGATCCATCATATCCCTGCGACACCTGCAAGCTCATGCCAGAATGCTGGTGACTGAGAGCCGTGCTACCGCCGAGGCCTTTTCGGGGGACGACTGGCGCCAGTACGTGGAGCGGAAGAGCCGCCTCTGGTTTATACTAGCCGACGAGTGGGCCGAGGGGCCGCGGCACACGCTGCTGGTGTCCTACGAGCGGCTGGTGGCTGAGCCGGCCGTCCAGCTGCGCCGAATGCTGCACTTCCTGGGCGTGACCCCGGCGCCAGAGAGACTCGGCTGCACGCTGAGACACAAGGAGGGCGCCTTCAGGAACACTGAGCACCCTGTGCTGCCTAGCGAGGACGTCTATGATGCCGATTTGCGCCGGATGGTTTGGGAGAGAATTCGGTTACTGGATGACACTTTAGCCAGTCGTGGCTACCAGAGACTTCCATTGCAATCGTATGCGTTCTACCAGCCTTAGAACTTAGAGCACAAGGTTTCAAACGATTAGATTTACTACATGTGCTTATTGTGACAAAATCAATGCCTCGACCAAGTTGTATGCCTTGATGAGCCTTGTTGCCGATGACAGCAGTGAGAAAGTGCGAATTCTAACCGATGACGAGGGAAATATTACAAACGCTATATCTCAACTGGATCTCAGTGTGCAGTGCCTATCCACCTACATTTCAGAACACCATATCTTTATTTGTGGTCGCTGCGCTCTCATTCCTTTCATTCGCTCGGCTTTGTTGTAACTTGCTTTCTTCCGTGCGCCTTTCACGCCAAGACCCGAGGGGAGCCCGAGGCAGTGATTGTGCCCGTCTGACCAGAGACCTCCACATAGGTTGGTACAAGTGACCTTAATTTTAAATATAACTTTTTGGCTCCTATTTCTGATTTATATTATGAGGTTACTGGTTATTCTTATATTATTATCCTTTAGAAAATAGATACAACAAATGCGTAAATATATATGATCGTACATATAATGCTATTTGTAAATGCGTATATATCGAATGACTTTGTGTGGTGAATTGGAGCCCGTCGGAGAGCCCTTAGGCCGCATCCACTGAAATATACAGACGTAATGTGCGGTACATTGGAGGCACATGAGTGACGTGCACATCAGTGCTCAGATGACCTCCAAGTGACCGCTCGCAGCGCCGACAAAGCGTTCTGCCGTGTCAAGCCGCGATGACTAGAGTTTATCTGAACCTGCAGCGGTCACTGACCGACGCGCTGCGGCGGCAGTCTGCCCTTGGAGAGGCGCCAAGCGGCTTATTCACGTATGGCAATGCCCCCCGGGTATTGTCTGGCTGTTCACCCTGGGTTCAGAGAAGTCGTATCAGGCAGTGCAGCTTACTGCGAAAAACGCAGTAAATGGGGAAGTCCATGATGAAGTCCACACATCTGGAGATGGATACCCATTTTTGTTGTTGTCTATTTGATATATCTAGCTCGTAAAGTGATAATGATTGTTCTGCTAAAAATGTTCGTTCAAGAATAGCTTCCATGACGCAGATCTTACAGCATATGTCAAAGCATAGTTAACCCTATTAGTGGCAGGCTCCTGGCTACCCCATATTAGTGGCAGGGGGGGCTGTTTACGACCCCCCCCCCCTTGATATCTCGAGATCTAACCGGCCGATTTTCAAAATTCAAACGGCATTCGATTTGGCTCAACGAGATCTACATTTCTAAAAAAAAATAAAATTAAAAAATGTCAATAGGGGGGTAGAGGGGGGTAAAAACGGGAAAATTGCAGATACATTTTAGACTGTTTATCGCGGCCAGGTTTCTGAACCAATCTTAACGCAACTTTTGCCGATCGATAGAGAATGAACCAGGAATTCACATGGATCCTAAAAATATGCATTTTCAAAAATCATAGGCGGATACAGATCATTGAGATTGGGAGTACACAAAAAGTATAGTAAATAAGGTTTTTGTTGGTACTGTTTCTAAAAAGGGTGGCAATGGTCTTGTTATGTTACAATTTTCTTATCAGAGAACGACTAAAATTGTATTGGTCATGCATAGGCGGTGTCAGGGCACCTATGTTGGGAGGTAAAAAATAACCCCCCTTTTTGGACGCCTGGATCCGCCTATTATAGCAAAAACGTGTCAAAAGAGGATGCACAATAACTTTGTATATGTTATCACATGATACCTTTCATTCATTGTTCGTAAAACTGGTGCAGCATCGTGATCTTCGCCCAAATGACTCGCTTCACGAATAGGACCCCCAATTCCCAGTGCTCTGGAGCCGCCCCTGGTAAAGTTATGAACTTGAAATTTTCAGGGAATGTGCCCAATTTAGTTTTAGGAAAAGTCAGAAAATTTCAGCATCGTAGCTTCAGCGGTTTCGGAGATATCCCCGAAAAACCTGAGGGGTGGATAAAAACAACCCCCCCCTGCCACTAATAGGGTTAACACGACTCATGCTATCTATGGTCAGGGTATATAATACATATGCCAAAACTGTTATACATGGTTAGTGATTATGCACATATGCAGTCGCAGAAGACATGTGTAATAGATATGTAATGATTTAAGTAAAGAATCTGCGAGACCTGAGCAATCCCTCAGCAAATCTGAAGTTGGATACATGTTCTTACTTGATACCATAAGAAAGCATATGTTTGATCAATTATCTAATAACATGATTTGTTTTGCAATTTGCATCATAGCGGATACTAGGGTCTATATTATCGATGCTGATCTTACAGCAGCATCTTACACCCGTAGATACAAAAATTATTAACTCGTGCACGACTGGAGTAGGGCTCTACAGACCATCCCGTTTTTATGCATTTTTTTAAAAAACCACTGATGATATCGGCACGAGAATTTCAGCACCCTGGGCTACATCAATTTAACATCCAGTGTTTAAAGAAAAAGTATGTACAGGGTGTTTCACTAAAAGTGTCAAAAAGTAAACGGTCATAATGCACATAATAACAATGTTTTCTAAGGAAATTTGCATATCATTTCATCCGCAATTGTTGGACATTTGAATATATAAAAACGATATCACCGTCACTCAAACCTATTCCACACATCTGCCCCTTCTTTTGATGCACCGTTTCGGCACGTGTCCGGAGGTGCCTCACAGCCCGTTTTCATCTTCAGCGTCCAGACTGTCGGCAAAGCCTTGAATTGTGCTCTTCAGCTCCCGAAGTGATGCGACTTGAGTCTTCCTCAGCTCTGCGAGAGCTACTGAGTCACTGACCAAACCAGGGGCTTAGCGGTGACAGATCGGGGCTTCGCGCTGGCCAGGGACGGGCGGCGAGGCAGCTGATTATTCGGCCCAGGCCAGGAGCTTCTGGTCCAGTCAGTTCCTGGTGGCTACAGCCGTTACAGTGGTTGATTTTAATAACTTGTAAGGCCCTGGCTATTTCTGATGTTGGAATTAGCTTCTTGTTATCTTCAAAGGCCCTCAAAAAGACCCTGACCTTCTCAACGGTTTCCGCCGAGAGGTGGGGGCAACCCCGCCTTTTTTGGACTGGAACCGGCATCGAAGGAACCCTTTTAAACCTCTCAACAAGCCCTTTGAAACTTTTATAATCTGGAACATAGCGAGGTGAGAGAGTAAAAAGTTTCCTGAAAAGTCGGCATACGGTTTCAATGTTTCTGATGGCACCAAATGTACATAAGTGTAATTCACCCCTCCTGTTGCGGTGTAAATAACTGTTCTTGTTCTGCATAAGGAAAAAATGACTAGTAACTTTGGCCTCCTGCCCTCGCACCGTATGAGTGTAAAATATATCTTAAATGGATAAATAATAAATGTCCAAAAAATTGCAACAAAGCCACGTGCGCAGCCACGTGATTTGCATATTCTATATATCTTTAATAAGCATTTACTTTTTGACACTTTTAGTGAAACACCCTGTAGCTACCATAGAACCGCCAGGAAGCAATTCAGGGTGACGTCATGTTCGGCCGAGTTTCATGCAAAACATGGGCTCACCATGGATAATATAGTGCCATTATCTCATCCATGGACATACACGGCAATCACTCAAAAGCCCAGTTTTACCTATAGAACCAATTTCTTTGCATGGCCTGACTCAAAATACAGAGGGCTATGAAACGGGTATCTCAGATTTTCAACATTTTAAGAACTATGGGAACAATACACAATAAGACCCAAAAAAGGTACCTATTTTTTAAAGATTTTAAACTATACCTAATGTATTGGCTTAAAAACAGAATACCTATTTGTGATAGCACACACCTACCTATGAACTACCACAGCAAGTTATAACGCTATATCTTGAAAATTGGCAAATTATCCCACACCCGCTGGCTAGGGTATGTTTGAACACCCCTTGCAGTTTTTGGTGCGTCCTTATTTGACATATTTTTTAATATCTTATAAGAATTTCAGACTCAAGTCTCTCAAGGTCAGGTCACCAGATCGCCTCAAGTGACCTCACTTCAGAAGAAAAAGCTCCAGTGCTTGTCGTAGCTACACCAAGTGACGGACCACTTTAACCCGCGCACCGACGGGGGGGGGCGGATATCCGCCCCCCCCCCTGAGGTTTTTCGCGGATAGCGGGAAAACCGCTACGTATGACTATTCTCTCATCAATTTTGCACATCGTGTGCAAGTTTGAACCTCATAACTTTCAAGGTCAGGTCACCAGGTCACTTTGAATGACCCAACCTCAAGTCACTTTTTTGCAACTTTGTCACCGTGCCAGAGCTACAGTAGATGTCAGAGGCCTTTGAAAGTCGCAGGATGTTATTAGGTCATTAGTAGCTACAATTTTATATCTCCGAATTTTGATGTCGGCGACCTAAGGTCAGGTCAATTTCACGACCTCCCCATTATAAGTCAATGGGGGAAAAATCAACTCCCTGTTTTTACCACTAAAACGGGTCGGAATGGCCCCATATACCATACATGACTTCATATACGATCAACCTTCACTACCTTGAGGTCTGTTTTGCTGTTGGGCAGCTGTAAGGTCATGTGACGTCATCAAAGGTCACCAGCGGTTTTTTGCCAATAACTCCGTACAGGAACAAGATACAGCCGCGCGGATGGTCTCATTGTGTTCAGCTCGTCAAGACGCATCGAATGATATACATGATGACCTCGAGGTCACGTGACCTGAGGTCAACCTTTGACCTTGACCTTTCGAGGTCAACATATATATTATTCGATGCGGATTGACGAGAGGATCACGATGATGCCCTTATTTTGTTCCTATCTTGACTAATTCGAAAGTTATTCTAGAAAAACTCTCTCCATATCTAGAGCCGCCATTTTGACTTTTTCGACCCCTGTGACGTCATCTTTGACCTGACCTGAAAATGACCTTTGTAAAAATTGTAGACCTTGTCCGTGCGTATCCGATGCCGTTTACCGCTTGTCGCTATCTTGCTTCGTTCTCGAGATCTCAGGGGGGGGGGCGGTCATCCGCCCCCCCCCCCCGTCGGTGCGAAGGTGGCGCAGACCCCCGTCGGTGCGCGGGTTAAAACTTTCAGCGATTGATAAAGGCAGCAGCATGCACAACGCGTATACATGCATCCCGGAACTTTGATATCAGTGACAGGTCAGGTCACTTTTGCACCCTCTCTATTATGAGTCAATGGGGGGGGGGGGATTTAAAGGCGCCTCTTTTGACAAATGTTATTCTTAACACTCTATTAACCCGGCAGTTGCTGGGATATTTCGCCACCCGCCGTTTGCTGGGGGGGGGGGGGGGTCGTCGTTAAACGCCCCCAGCCGATAACTCGAGAACCAATAGGCACAGCGAAACGCATGAGGCGGCAAACGAAAGAACGCGACGAGACGCTTCAGATGAGTGCTTTAAAGTTTAATTTTGAGGTCACAGGTCGGGTCAAGGTCAGGTCAAACACCTGAAATCGGGCTTTCAGTAGCATGGACTTCAGGACTTTGTAATGTGCGCCTCTCGTCATAAACTCTGTCAAAACGGTGCACAATCCTTCATATAAGGCCTACAAGAGTGTCAGCTCCATGTAGGGGTCAGTCAAGCATAGGTCAGGGTCAAGGTCAGGTCAACCGGGTAGGCACATATCCCTGAAAATCAAAACTGATATTCGCAGCCTGTGACACATGTTTTATGGGTAATTTTGGGCGTAGAACACGATGGCGACATTCATTTTATCGTATGTGTACCTGTTTGGTTCAAAAAGCTCAATTTAAGAAATGCATGTATCATGTTCAAGATTCAGTTCAAGATTTTGGAAAATGCGGAACGATAATTAATAAATCGAAGATAGCCATTTGATTGTTCATGGTATTGGCAGTCTAACGGCGTTTACGGCATGTCTGTATGTCTATTCTGTGATTTTATATGATTTTTAAGCATATGCCGTTTTTGGTCGAAAACTCAGAAATCATGACGTCACTAAAACCTCAATATCTCAAAAAATTTCCGACCGATTGTTTTGAAACTTTGTCACAATAAACTTCAATCAATTCCCTACAGGTACCCAAATTTTGGCGCGCCGCTATGGCGCGGCGAAAAAGGTGGGGGCGTTTACCCCCCCCCCCCCCCAGCAACTCGCGGATTAACACTAAGTTGTGGGTTGGTCGATATGACACAATGAACCAGAAAATGGCACCTGTAACTCCTCCAGCCTCCTTATATCCCTGAGGTCATCTTAGGTCACCAAGAGTATCGAACAGTTTCTCGCTGAGTACTTTGGATAGAGGCACGCTATAGCGATGAAAACACCTTAGATGTGTTCATATTAACAATACAGAGCGACTGATATGCAACACGACCTTTCTGGACTCTGGTCAGGTTCGGACCTTGATCTGAGGTCAAAATTTCAAGGTGACTAATTAACCCGCGCCCCAGTGGCGGTCTCAGCCAACTTCGCACTTATAGTGGGGGGGGGGGGGGGGAGGAGCATATGTTACCACCCACCTCTAACTCAAAAACTAAGAGGGCTAGAAAGACGCGGTAAAAAGCAGTCGATAACTCTCAATGCGTACTTTTGAAAGTATTTCGGTCATTTTTTCACCTTAGAGCAATATTGGGGTCACCAGAGGTCATCAAAGGTCAAAATTTGCCAATTGTCATTATATTTTTCAGAAAACATGCCGCTATCTCAGGAACTATGGTAGCTAGAAAAACGCATGGAAGAGCAATCGATAGCTCATGAACTCTTCTTTTGAAAAGGTCCTTATCAATATTGACCTCAGGTCAACGGTTTAGCCTTCAGAGGGCAAAAACTCCAAAAATAGCTGTTTTTACGAAAAGTGTTTTTCGACAATAACTTTCTACTATAAAAAGCCACGACATTTCTATTGCCGGAATCGTGTTCCCCTCGCCGAGACGCGTCGAATGAACTATAATTTGACCTTGAAAGGTCAACTTGAAAATTTGACCTCAGGTCAAGGTCATGACCTTACCGGAAAAGGTCATGTTGCATATCAGTCGATGCGTCTCAACAAGACAAACACAATGAGACCATCCCCAGCGTTCTATCTCTTTCCAATCGCGAGTTATTGGCAAAAAACTGTAGCCTCAAGTGACCTCGGATGACCTGTCTAGAGGCTATCAGCAAAAATGACACCTTGGTCATCAAGAGTGGACTAAATCATTGTGATTCTGAAATATTTGGACTGTTCCGATGCGTACACACGGATCTAGAGGCATTTTCATTTTTCTCCATTGACTTGTAATGGAAAGGTCACGCCACTGATCTCACCTTAGGTCACGGATATAAAAAATCCGAGATATACAAATTGTAGGCGCCCATAACAGCATACAATCCACCAAGTTTAAAACCATTCTGACAAACACTGCAGGCTGGACATGATTGCAAACTTTTTTAGGCTTGGTCAGTTAACTTGACCTGGTGACCCGACCTGACATGACCTGGGGTCAAAAATTTTACACATTGTCCAAAATTGATGTACCAAAAGCTACCCCAAGCGGCGCGGCGCTACGCGCCGCGGTTTTTTATTTACACGCAAAAAACGCGACAGGGTGGTAACATATGCCCCCCCCCACTGCACTGGGGCGAAGGTTAAGGTCAAACCATAGTTCATTCAACGCGTCTTGACGAGAGGAACACGATGCCTGTAAAGGTAACCTCGTGCAAGGTTTGGGTCAAAAGTTTTAGAAAAACTGTTTCCGAAAAAAAAAATCGGCTATTTTGGCAGTTTTTGTCCCCTGCCGGCGGAACCGTTGACGTTAGATCAAATATAAGAGGGTTACTCAGAAAGGGCGTTAATATGGCTATTGAATCCGCTTTTCAGTGGCGCTGTAGCTCTATTGGTTCCAGAGTTATGCGTTGGCTTCTTGGATATTGTCGACATTTGACCTGAAAATCGGCGAAATTTTGCCTTCATATGTCCTCTAGTGATCTGACCTTTGACCTGACCAAAAAATTGGCCAAATTCGTTTCGTCGTTATTTTTAGCGCTCTCTCGAACGCCGCCTTCTGCGTATCGCTACGTGGCACAGCAGCCGAGTTATAAGGGGTTGTTCATTGTTCAATCAACCCCCCCCCCCAGCAGGGCGTGGAAATCCAGGACCCCAGTCGGGCGCGGGTTCATAGGGCCGTAGCAAATGCGCTATTGTGCGGCGCTGTAGCTTTATTCATTTCCGAATTATGCGCAGATTTGTTAACACGCGCAGTGGAAGGGTTGCGAATACTACGTCCGATGGAGTGGGAGGGGGCGAATGTCGCCCCTCCTCCCCTTAAGATCCCAGCTTCCACTGGAGCTAGAAAGACGAAATTCGGAGAGTTGGTGGGGGCTCTGGGGAACTCTGTTGTGTGTGAATTTCATGACCCTAGGTCAATATCTTCAAGGTCAAATGAGGTCAAATGTGTTCAAATCGGCCACATGAGCGACTTTTTTGCGTTTATACGCCGATAGCTCAAAAAGTTACCGGCTGATTTAATTTTTTCACTTTACGAAAGAAAGAAATATAGACATCATTTTTGAGTATGTATGGCGAATTTCTAAATCATCCAACAATAGATATGGCAGTTAGAAGCGTGCTAAGAGTAAGATGTCGCCTTTTGAAGCGGGATCGGCCGACGCGGTAAACGCGGCAATCACAATTTTGTGTTTACACACTCATAATTCAAGTTTTTACCGGCCGATTTTCAAAAGTCTTTGACCATAAAATTGCTGTACATTTCTTAGTCTTCTCCCAAAATTTGACGCGAATCGAATAAAATAAGCGGAAAGGAGCGCGATGTAAAGACGGAACCGTCCCGCTCCGGCACCGTCTACAATTCAGGCGGCGCGTAACGGCCGTCGCCGGCAGCCGCGTCGCCGCGTCGCCGCGGCGGCAGGATGTTTGACTTTACACCGCTATTACTAGAAAAGTTATTAACCGATTTTCTTATTCCTTGCACGAAAAGATCTGCAATTCATTTCTTGACAGGTAGCCAAAATTTCACATTAACATTATGTTTGCATCCCCCCTTCCACTGCGCGTGTTAAAAATAGTCGAGCTAGCCCTCGTCCCGTTGGGGGGGGGGGGGGTCAGTGACCTATTCTGACCTAGCCTTGACCTGAAACATACCAATTAGTAGCTCGGTAGCCACACTCCATAGGGTATCTTCAGCACAATTTTATGGGTGTGTACTGTGTACCTATATCAAATGAGCCAGGGCCCAGGTGTGACTTGTTAAGCGCCTTTAGCGGCGGCGTAGAGCCCCAAAAGTGTGGACCTGAGCATTCCAAAACATATATAGCTTTTACGTTGATCTGATCTGTGACGCCATCGGTGACCAAAGGCATTTGTTTCCTTCTGGCCGATTTTCGGTCAATTCTTATGCAAACTGAGGTTCTATGGTACATAACTAATCGCTGATACAAACATGCAGTTTTCATGGAACACGGTCCTTACCCTGAACAGCGATTATGCAGATAAAAATTGTCGAATAACTTATTTGGCCTCCTCCAAATATAGACATCAAAATTGTATTAGAACTGAATTTCACTTAACATTCACCCTCAGACTTGTCAAAACATCTATTTGACAACAAACACAGCATACAGAACACACAGACACACACATTTATAAGCATAAATATAGTCACTCGATGCTCGCAATCACTGACCGGTGCAATTAATTGCAATGAACGGTGATGACAAATCTGTCAATAACTATCCCTTGGAAATAACAGTGTTTTTGCGTAGCAATGTCAGCCGATGGAACACAAACTCAATTGTTTGCGATATTTTACATCACACATTGTTTTTCAGTAGTTTCGAAGGGCTATAAATAATGATATATATTGATATATAGTTCGCGAACGAACCGATGTCTTCAAGGGTCTTCGATGACACCAGGGTTGAAATGTATCAAAATCACATAAACACCTATGTAGCTGTCGATTCCCCTACTCTTAGTCATCACTTTAAAATACAGCACAATCATACTATTGTATCCATTCGCAATTCACTCTTAGCACGTTACGTGATTCCGGAAACTGACGGTTTCCAATATCAGCTCCTTGGGCGACAATGTTCACTCCTCACTGCACTTCGTGACCACTACCTCTGTTTCCAACAGACGGGGACAAGTGCTCTGAGCTGGCCGCTGGTAACATCACGATTGTGTCCATTCGAGTTGCATGGATGTTGAAGCCTCCCCACTAATGGTCGCTGTGGACCCCAGTGAGGAAGAATTGGTCCATAATCACTTCGCGGCACTATGCTATGCTAGCATAGGGGGAAGCCGGGGGAAGCCCGGCATAGTAAGCTCTTTTTCATTTTTTTTACATACCATACGTGCTGTATAAAATGTTGATATCCTGCTAGCTAGCTAAGTTCATTGGCCGTGTTTTCCCAAAAATTCGGCTTCGTGGAATAAGTATAAGGTTGAGAAAATCGAGTTTTAAAAAAGTGTTGATTTTTCTGGGGTAAGCCCGGCATAGGGGTAACGCCGGCCACCTCCCCAGCGCTTTACAACGAGTTGATGAAACCATTATGTGTTTTCCAAATATTAACGGAAAGTGAAATATTAAGGTACTGATTAGCTCTGGACATCTTAGAGATTATGTCACTACTGGTATTTTAGCTAGCGTCTACTACATATACAGTACAGGTCGATGAAAATCGTGATGCAAAATTGACACAAAAGGTGTATTTCAAAATTCCTTAAAATTTATTTTTATTTTTACCTTAATGCATCATATTGCATATCATTCGACTCGGCTGATGACGAAGAACACAACGACACCATTTTTGAAGCTCTAGCTTCATTATCTGTCGCGTTATCTGCAAAAACGTAGTTTGACCCTAGTTGACCTTAAGTGACATGACTGGCTTTGTCAATGATAGCATGTTTATTTTCGAAATTTATCTTTGATCTAGGTGTAAACCAAACCTGCTCAGTACCTATTATCTCATGGAAAACAGTGGTTTAGTGGCATTGCTCTCGGTTGGGGGTAAGCTTGGCCACTCGCCCGGGGTTACCCCAATGTGCTAATTTTTATTTTAGAACAGCGATATTCGAAAAAAAAATGTCATACTTAAGCCAGCCTGCCTCGTCACCCCTCACTACAAATACTTAAACGGTCCTTACATAACATTCGTATAAATATTAGTACTGTATGGTATAACATTAACAGTGCAACATATCTCACTTTTTAGCTAAAAACCCTTAAAATATCATTTTTGCGCTATAACTTTAACAATATGCAATTTTTGTCAGCCTGAACTTTTTTGCTGGCGTTACCTTAGCTGCCACGCTGAAAGGACAAACAGTTGAGCATTTTATTGTGAATAATTTAGCCGGAAACGGGGTGGCCGGGCTTCCCCCGCGCCCGGGCTTCCCCCGGCTTCCCCTACCCTTACTGATCACTGGTCTTGGTTGCTATTTTCGGTAAGCGAGGACGGTGCATCATTCTTATTTTTCAGCTCAGTCCACATCAGCAACATTGCATGGGTAGGTAGCTCGCAGTCTTCCCTTCACGCCCGCTGCCTGTTGAGTGTTGATGTAACTTCTCATGTCACGTCAACCACCAGTGTCACCAGCGTCCCGCCAGAGGCGCTGCTGTCGATGTATGCATGCAGATGGCGCTGCAATCGCGGCTGTTAGCGGCCAGCATTACCCAGTGGCGGGAAGAGCGGCAGTGAGTCGGCAGCCACCTCATTCTGCAGCGGCAGCACGCCGGCGTGAACGTTCCCCTTGTTCTGCGGCAACCTCTGCGGTTGGGGCTGGGGCTGGGGCTTCGGCTGGGGCTGAGGAGGTCGCTGGGGCTGCGGCTGGGGCTTCGGCTGGGGTTGAGGAAGTCGCTGGGGCTGGGGCTGGGGCTGAGGAGGTCGCTGGGGCTGGGGCTGGGGAGGTCGCTGGGGCTGGGTCTGAGGAGGTCGCTGGGTCTGGGGCTGGGGTCGATGCTGCTGAGGCCGAGGCTGGGGAGGCCTCTGGGGCTGGGGCTGGGGAGGTCTCTGGGACTGCGGCTGAGGCCGCTGCTGTTGGGGACGCTGAAGAGGTCGCTGCTGAGGGGGCTGAGGGGGCCTCTGCTGCTGCTGGGGCCGAGGCTGAGGAGGTCGCTGCTGAGGGGGCTGAGGAGGCCTCTGCTGCTGCTGCTGGACTTGGACCACCTGAAAACGGTAAAGACGTCCGAGTTACATGTGAGATGATAAACGCATGTATATACATAAGCAGATATCTGTAATTGAAACGGCATTACATACTACATGAAAGTTGGCATATAGAAAGTTATTTTAAAAACCAAACACATCACTTGCAGACCTCGAAACAAGAGGCTTTAATTCACGTATTCGCTTATGTTATACAGTGTCATAAACAATAAACATGCCCCAGACCACTCCCAACCGTCTGAGGTCGGTACGGCTGTCTGCCGGCGCTGCGGACTGACCTGAGGCGGCGCGGGGCGGACCGGCGCCGCGATCACCGGACGACCCGCGGGCGGCCGCCGCGGCGGACTCTGCACAAACGTCTGCGGGCGCTGACCTCCACCGTTGTTATTGTTATTGTTGTTGTTGAAGAGCAGCCTGCCAGGCCGCTGCGGCAGGACGATTCCGGCCGGCCGCAGAGGAATGTTGACGGGGCGAGGCACCGGCCGGCCACGACCAGAGTTGACCTGGGGTCACGAACAGATCACATACATAGGTTAGAGGTGTAGTGCAATGTATAGAAAACACATTATGATAAATATGGCAGGTGTAGGTAAGCTAATGTTCAGGAGAACGGGAAGCACTCATATCACAGAAAATTCCCACTCTGGTTCAGCACGTCCCACTTCCGTTCAGCAACCTACATGTCCCGCTGATATCCCAATCATGTCCCACTGACCTCCCAACCAAGTCCCAATCAAAGCCCACTCCGGTCCCACTCCAGCTCCGCCTTGGATCCCAGACACAGACCACAGTTGGCCCACCCGGTCCTTCCGTGCTGCCCCGCACTATGTATAACTGACCTGCAGTTGCCGGTTGACTCCGGGCGATGGGCCGCTGTTCGATGATGATATCGGCCGGAATCCTCCAAACATGATGATTGGAGGTGTGGGCAGACCATCCTGAGGGGCAGCTGTCACCGCCAAGGCGGCCAACGCTGCTGTCAGCAGCACCTGTGGCAGAGGTCAGCCGGGGGTCAGTCGGGTCATGGATTAGGTATTCCTGGATCGGACACTCCGCCGATTTTCCGACCACCCGGCGGCGGCGGCGGATTTCCCGACGGCGAGGGCGCTGGCGCCAATTTAGCATTACGGGCTATGGGCGGAGCGTGTCTTTTTGTATACTTTTGTCGTTTATTACTTACCTGTAGCCGATTTTGATGAAAATTTTTGTGAACCTGGTAGAACAGGAATTGAGGAATGTCATGAAAATATTATTTTCCCAGTTTTTATTTAAGAAGTTGCTTAAATTCTGCTGACAAGTGAGGGTTCGTGAGTACAGCCGAAGAGCCAATGTTAGAATAAAGTGAAGTTCTATGCGATAACATGAAAATAAGTTGATATTTGTATTAACCCTCGCATGTGTGCGGCGTTTGCCAGCTTCTAATGTGTAGGGGGGGGGGGTCGGTTGGACCCCCCCCCCCTTGCCGTTTGGCCCCTGATCGAGCTAGAGCTTCGCGGAAAAAACGAGCGTGTTGCCCGTGACGAGAGGAAGCCGATGATACCCAATTTTAAGGTCCTAGGTCATTGGTTGACCTTCCAGGTCAGGTCAATGACCCAAAGTCGGGAAAATCGGGACCTGTTAGAAAGTCGTAAAGTGTGGCTGCTAAGGGGTTTTTCGGGGTGCTGATCACGAATATCGTGTTAGTTTTGATCACAGATGATGTCTTGAAGCATTTAGACCAGGTCGGGTCAGGTCAGGTCAGGTCAACCAGTAGGCGTCGTGACGGGTATTCGTAGTACGTGTCAACCGCCTCTGACAGCTTCGTAACATGTTACGAAGTCACCAAAACTACTTCGTAAATGTTCAAATGGTTGCCAAATTCGAATTCAGCTCCAAAAACTAGCCTAGAAACATGTAAAACTCGAAAAAGTGACCCGAGGTCACCCGAGGTCACCAAAGGTCAATGACCTGACCTGACCTTCAGGTGACCTTGACACACACGGGAGTAACATCAAATCACATGTTTGAACGTTTGAAACCACGAAAAGCTTGCAAACACGCGGCTAGTGCGAGCCGACATACGCGAAATCACGATTCCGGCCAAACATGGTCTCGGAAAAGAGGTCACAGGTCAAAGGTCATTTGGGTCAGGGTCATGAAATTTTCAGGGTAGGTGTAAAATTGATCAATGCGAGGGTACTGAAAATTTCGTCGCGATCGGCCGCTTTTTACGCGAGTTATTCGCGAAAAACCATGAGGGGGGTCCATCCGACCCCCCCCCCCCCTACACATGCGAGGGTTAAATCATCAATAGGAACTTGTTTGACTGCCGAGGAACGATGATATTTGATGATAAATTGCATCGGCAAGTCAAGAATACCGGCTCAGTTTATGGGCATCAGGTAATGATCCCGTATGTGATAGTGACTAAATGGAGCCATAATAATTATAAGAAAGAACTTAAAATATGTGTGAAGTCTCTGAAATCGTGTCTTATGAGCTTAAAGTTCGCTAATTTCGCCCTCCAATACCGCGTTTTTAGCACGCAAGCCGGTGCGGCGGCCGCCGGCGCACTCGCCGCCGATGTTTCGGAGCTCCGCCACCAGGGCGGCCGCTTGGTCGCCGGCGCTAGTGTTGGGGAATAGGGAGTGTCCTATCCAGGTATACCTCATCCATGGTCGGGTTCAACAGCGGTCAGACGACAAATAAAAATAATAAAAGTGAAAAAAAAAAACAGAGAAACAGAGAGAGAGAGAGAGAGAGAGAGAGGGAGAGAGAGAGAGAGAGGAGGAGGAGGAGGAGAGGAAACATGGAGAGGAGAGAGAGAGGGAGAGAGATAGAGAGAGATTTAATCAAAATGCAGCCAAGGCTGTAGCTGAAACAATGCATTGCCGCGCCCCATCATAAATGAGGGTCTCAGTCTGCATTCTGAGAGTGAGAGAGAGGGAGAGAGCTACAAGGTCTGTAGCGCCTGCTGATCCTTTCATATGCAAAAGTCCTTTCAAAATATCAAGGCGTGTAACGGGAAACGATGTCAGTGGCATCTGCTTCCTTATCACACACTGGCAAAGAAACGGATCCAGCGGTGGAGCACGGCGTACGACCTCCAGCAACATCGTAAACATCAACATTACAACTGAAAGGCTGTCGTCACGCCAGCCAAAATCCAGGCTGCATTTCGTTGATGCATTATCAGAAGTAGAGATGTCAATCGGATACCAACTTTTTGGTATACCGATACCAAACCGATACCAACTTGGTATTTGATATTTCAATCCTAATGTGTTTGGTAGGTATTTTGTTGGTATTATGAACCCTTACTAATGTATAAGAGGCTAAGAAATTGGTAAAAAGTTGGTATTTCCCTCATCTTTCAAAGTTGGTTCGGTTTCGGTATTCCCCCCCCCCCCGGTTTTGGTTGGTATTTGGTTTGGTATCGGTATTCCGATTTTCTGTAATTGACATCATTATCACAAGCACTACTGATTTCTCTCGCTAACATTCAGTTTTCCACCACGAGGCAATTTGTTCTATTGTAACATTCTTCTTTCTTAGTTCAACAATGTGACCGTTGTTTTTGGTTTTCCTTGGCATAAGTTTACTTTTTTCTAATAATTGCGTCGTTAATTCTGATTCTCCCTCTGCTAACAATTGTTCATCTCAAGTGTTGTCTCGTCGCCAAGATCGGCCGACCGTTCTGCTGCGTGGAAAAGTCCATACTGTTCCAAATCCTATTTTAAAAAAATCCTCACCTATTTCAAATCTTCCCAAATGATCCCGCATCTGTCCTTCCCGTTTCCCAGCTCATGTTCTTCCGTCTGTCCCTCTTGTCTGTTTTTCTCGTCCTTCCCCTCTGCCCCTCCAATCTGCCCTCCCCTCTGTCCCTCCAGATCCTCTCCCTCCCCTCTGTCCCGGTCACCCAGTTCCTGCTGACCCTGACAGCTCGGACCGACCATGGGATGGACCGGTCGACAGCTGGACCGAGCCTGCAGCCGATACCCGCCTCCGATACACGGAGAGGTGCTACTGATGCCCCGGGGTCATTGGTGACCTCGGACTGAACGATTGGCACCCTGGAGTTCCCGGCAGGGGGGCGAGTCACCAATGGGACCGATCGGGGACGGATGTGTCACCGCTCGGCGTCAGACGCAGCATAGTTGGCGGATAGTTCGAAATGGCGAAAATTCTAATGCACACATCTTCCAATAAAATCCAGTGCCTATAGAGACTGTGAGTGAACGCTGTACCGTGGGCAAGCGTTGCTTAGGGCCCAAACCTATATTCTGTCCAATAAGTTGAATTGGAGAGGTGGGGGGGGGGGGGTGCTTATGTGAGATTAACATTCACGTGCCATTCACGTTGGCGCTCACGAACATACCATCAGCGCGTCAATTTGCAAACACAAATAGGTAACAGAATGGATAAGACTTCGCTTTCAGATGGGGCACCGGCAGTCGCTATCAGAACTCCACTCCTACACTGTACATACACATAGTTAGTCTCCCGAATGGTGTTACTCTTCTATGTAGCATTGTAGTCTCCGCGGTGAGGTTCTGTGCAGAGTTGCAGTGTCTCTAGTGGTGCTACTGTTCTATGTAGAGCTGCAGTCTCCGAAATGATTCCATCATTTGTAAAACTACTGTCTCCATGGTAGTGCTTCTGTCCTGTATAGAGTTGCAGTTTCCGTAGTGGTGTTACTGTTCTATGTACAGTTGCAGTCTCTGGTAGTGGTGCTACTATTTATTCTATGTACAGTTGCAGTCTCCGTGGTGGTTCTTTTTATGTATAAGGTTTCAGTCACTGTGGTGGTTATTCAATATTCTGTTTTATGTCGCGTTGCTGATCCGTGATGGTATGGTGCTACTGTCCTATGTACAGTCGCAGTCTCTGCAGTTGTGTTATTGTTCTTCGGAGAGTTGAAGTCTCCGTGCTGGTGCTACTGTTCTATGCAGAGTTGCAGTCTCCGTAGCGGTGTTACTGTTCATAAGTGGAGTTGCAGTCCCCTCGGTGGTGCTTGTATGCTATGGAATGTTGTCTCCTAGAGTCACAGTCTCCGTGCTGGTGATACTGTACTATGCAGAGTTGCAGTCTCCGTGACATTGCTACTGTCCTATGTAAAGTTGCAGTCTTCGTAGTGTTATTGTTCTGCATAGGGCTGCGGTCTCTGGTGGTGCTACTGTCCTATGTAAAGTCGCATTCTCCGTGCTGGTGCTACTGCTCTATGTAGAATTGCAATCTCTTTGGTGGTGCTACTGTTCTAGGTAAAGTTGTAGTCTCCGAGGTGATGCTTTTTTCTAATGCAGATTTTCAGTTTTTATGTTATTTTATCGGTCCCTCTTGCATAAGGAATTGTGTTGTATAATTGCACCCTGCTGTGCAAGTCGGGATGGCTCAGTATTTCACACACTGTACTCCTATTGCCTTGAGGAAAGGACCAGGAATGAACGAACGATATCACCTTAGCAGGAACTAAGAAACTGGGTGAAACGCCTCGTATCAATTCAAAAACCAGCGCTGATAACAGCGTGATAACCATATGCGTAGCAGCAAGCAGTGAAATAGTGCATCTAATAGATAATTATAGAAGACGCCTGCCATCCAGAGACCTCTGTAGGCAGATATCTATGCTAGGTCCTATTACCGTTGACATATTGGTTGATCAGGTGAAATTCTAACCCTACACCAGCAGCTTGATCGTGGAGGTGAAGACTGTAGAGAGTGGTCTTTTTCTGCCACTCATACCCCAGCCCCTCCCCCTTCACCTCTACACAGTTGACACATTCAATTGTTTCAGCTCTACCTCCCACCTGTGACGCCACAGACCGGATACGCACAGAGTGTGGTGATCTCACTTTTGATGAACTATTACCGCACTGATGGCCGCTGCCGCTGACGGATATTGTCGAATTGGTGCTATTAGTTGAAGGCGAGAAGTGATGAGGGGTCTGACACGCTGTGTGCCATGAGTAGAAGAGCAGATTCATATAAATAATCGCCAATGCCGGATGAG